CATTCTAGGGGTGTAGTGGGGGCAGCGTTGTGAGCAGATACATGTCACATATCGGAAAGCAAGAGGCTGGAGTGTACTTCATTCGTTCACAGAAAGTGTTGAGAGTGTACTTTGTGGTAGGCCCTTTCCTTTGGGTGGGTGGTGGGTATTCCGTGATTGGGAACCCATGGTAAATAGGACTGACATGGTGTCCGATGTACTCACCACCTGGTTGGAAAAGACAGGAAGCAAATAATTACCCATGAAATACATAATTACAGTTTTGCGTTGAGTGCTGAGAAATACAGGTGCATTATAATTTGTAATTTAGGCAATAATGGTTAACCTGAGAACAGAGGGCTAAGAACAAAACCGGGATGTGTGTGTGCAGGGGGGTGTTCACTTAGAACAAGGAAGGAGCGTGAACTGTTAAAGGAATTGAGAGAATGCCCTTGAAGCTGGGGCCACGTAGGGACTGTAGGGACTGTAGGGTGGGAAAGCCAAGGTTTGGGGTTAAGACTTGCACTTTTTGTAGGTTCCTGGAGACTAAACATAGTGATTTAAAACATGGAGTCCAGAGCCAAGCTGATCGTAGCTCTGCCTCTCATGAGCTGTGTTCCTAAATCATTCTGGGTCTCAGTTTCCTGATGTGAGAAATGGGGATGATAATAATCCCACTTCATAGATGGTTGTAAAGATTAAATGATACTTTAATGAAACACTTAGATTAATGAAACACTTAGAGCCATGTCTGACATGTAGAAGGTGTTAGTGGTGTTTGAGTCCATAAATAGATAAATACATACATTAAGTATTGAAGGCTTGGAGGCAGTCTGTGGTGAAATTTGTGAACTTAAATGGCTTCCACCCAACTTCATTTCTTATCCAGTGTTCAGGTGCTGTTGACCACATGTGTAGAACTGTTGAATTAGAAATAATTTTTCTCATACCAACTGTTATTTGCTAAGAGAATCTGTAGTGCCATCAAAATGATCAGAGGGAAATAAAATACTTTTCAGGGGCATATCACAGTTAGGTGTATTTAAAATTTGTTGATGATTTAATATTTGTTGGTAACAGTTTGTGCAAATTTGCTTACTTAAAAAAAGTAAATTAACTGTAGAGTAACTCAGACACAGGAAAGAACAGGGAAGTAGTTTAACTATAGCTTGCATTTTCTTGACTCTCCATTGGATAGTTTTTATAATTTTCCTGTTCTTGCCTGCGTCAGTTTCCAATGCCCCCCTGTGTCTGCAGACATCTAAACATTGTAGGGGAAGTTTGGGTTTGGAATGGCAGAGACTACAGTGGTACCCAGCCCAAAGTGCACTTCAGCAGAGCCTGTGGGTCTTTTTAAAGAAAATACAGATGCTCACGTCCTCCTGTAGACTCACTGAATCAGAATCTTCTGGGCTAGGTCCCGGCTATAAAGACCAGGTATGTTTCCCATCTGGAAGCATTTCGTGAAAGCTTTTTTTGCACTGGGCTTTCCTTCAGGGGAACAACATGCAACAAGATTGGGAGAATCCATAAGTTAATATCTGAAAACATTTTGCAGACCTCTGTCCTTCATGTTCTGTGATATCTTGATCTGCATCTTCAATGTAATGTGTTAAACCCTTAAACCTTGTCAGAAAGTCGTATTATTAACATCGGGATTCCTTGCATGAATCATGGCCATATCACTTTATGCCTCAGTCCTCTCTTTGGAATCAGGATAAGATTGGAAACCCAGCACAGAGTGTAGCCTTCAATAAAGTATTATTACTACTTTTGATTTCCCTCCATTCTTTTTTTTTTACAGATTGTATTTATTTTAGAGAGTGACTGCATGACTGTGGCGGAGGAGAGGGAGAGGGAGGGGGACAGAATTTCATGCAGAATCCACATTGATTTTGGAGCCCACGTGGGGCTCGAACTCACAACTCTCAGATCATGACCTATGTCAAAATGAAGAGTCAGACGTTCAACTGACTGGGCACCCATGCGCCCCTTGATTTCCCTCCATTGTGAATATTATTTGGTTCCAGTACTATGTCCTAGCTGTGGGTTAGGCTGGTTCCTGCTGCCCTAGGTTACAGCCATAAAGCCCCTAAAATCACACTAAGAAAGCCAGTTAGCCTCCCAGGACACCTAGGATTCCCTCCAAGGAAGGGAACCATCCCTTCCTCCCGTGACGGTGGTCAGCGTCCTCCACAAAGGCCACTGGAAGCACACCTGTCGTTAAACACAGTGGCTTCGTTACTCATCCTGAGGGAGAACCCACGTCATGGGGACTGTGGGGCTGATCCGTAAGAAAGAGGGTGTCAGAAAGAACTTACAGGATTTGGGCTTTGGGCGGATGTTTTTGGGAGTGTTCAAGGAAGCAGGGGTGTGCTCTGGACTGGGTGCTGAGGCGAGGCGAGACAGTTCTGGGATCGGGTAGCTCCATCAGTGTTTTCTAGAAGGAGGTGTGAGGAGCGTGACGGACGGTGTCATTCAGAAGGAAGACACTCGCTGGTATCAGCCGGGGGAGAGGAGGATTGGCATTTGGGGGTGGGCATGACAAGCTGGTTTTTGTCTGTTTGGACAGAAGAGCGAGTGGTCCTGTTTTGTGTCCCTTCATCACCGGGGCCACGGCACCTCAAGCTGCTGTTCTGCGAGGTCATTTGCGTGCAACCGGAGAACCACGTGGCGTCTCCTTGAGCGCCAGGCCCGCTGCGACCAGCCGTGCAGCCCGGCTCATGGTGCCAGGCCGCCTCCTCGATGTCAGCACTGCTCTTGCTTCTTTGCCAGTGGAGGGGGGAAGCCTTCAAAAGACAAATAGGTGTTTGCAGGGCAGAAGAAACTAGCCTGGCCATGGAAGCCCAGGGCTGTGTCATCGGCACCTGACATTGGGCCAGGGAGCGGGGAGCAAGAGAGAATTCTGGAGAGGTTGTCAGAGAATGACATGTGGGAGGACCAAGGGGTCAAGTGGGGGAGCTGACGTGCTCCGGGTTTTCGGACGGTCCCCAGGAGCCTCGTGGGAGATGCATTGCTGACAAAGAGCAGGTCCGTTCCCCTTTCCTTCCCTGTGGCCACACCCCTGGCTCAGGTCCCTTCTCCTACCTGCTCTGTTGCAACAGGTCCTTCTTGTTCTGCCTGCTTCTCATCCAGCTCCCTCTCCCATCCACGTGCTCCTGCTCTGGCCAGGGTGATCTTCTTGGAATCCCACATCTTCTCCTGTTACTGCGTTCCTCGAAACCTTTTGATTCCCCATCAGCCACAAGGTGAGAATCTGTACTGTGTGGCGACTCACTTTGCTTTTCCTGATCCTCTCACGGTTCCCTGGGTCTCCCGCTGCCAACTGGAAATCTGTATTTCAATGTCTCCGAATTATGGCAAATCCATTCTTTCCAAAACTTCTCAAGATCCCCTTCCTGTATTCTCCTCCTCGCCACCCCCACCCCCCCGAACTCCGTGAATCGGGCCACTGTGTCCTTCAGGTCCCACGTGCAAAAGGGAGGAGTCCTCTTGGAACTCTGCTTTTACTTCCTTACCCCCTTGTGTGATCATTCTCCCAGACCTGTGATTTTATCTGCTAAATATTTCTGGAATCTACCTCATTTTCTCCACCTCTGCTTTGGCCCTCTCATTCCGAGTTAAGGTCATTTGTGGTCTGAGCCATGGTTCTAGTCTGCTTACTAAGCTTCCAGGCACTTCTACCGCCTCCAAATCCCTATCTCCCCCTGAAGCCAGAGGTTTGTGGAAGGCCCATTCGTTCATGTCACTGCCTAGTTTCCTGGCTTCTTGTTGCCGTTCGAGATAGACCCAAACGTTCCTTCTGTGTGTGCACGGCTGCTCCGTCCTTCTTCTCCAGTCTTGCTTCCCGCTCGCCTTCCCTGCTGTACACGATCCGGTCGTTCCTTCCAACGTGCCCTGTGCCCGCCGGCCTTGGGGCGGCTCGGCTGCCCCCTCTGCCCAAGATGCTCTTTCCCCCACCCGCCTTGCCTCACGAGCTCTCATCTTCCCTCAGATGACTGCAGTCACGCCACATTCTTTATTGAACGCCTACTCAGTTGCCAGAGGCTCGGTTCTTGTGCGCTTCCCGATGTGACCCAAACAGACCTTGGTGGAGCTGTTAGGGAGCCTTTCTTCCAGGGAGAGAATCAGCCAGGAAACACAGAGGCAAGGAATCTGGCGCATCAGGGGTCCTGGATGCTGTAGGAGCGTTGGAAGGGGTTGTCCTCTGAGCTGGGATGGCCAGGGACGGCCCCCTGAGGACAAGAGTGGGGAAAGCCTTGCAGGAGGTTGAGGGAGTGGGCCCTGTGCATGTCTGTGGGAACAGTGTCCCAGGCAGAGAGAAGGGGGAGTAGGAAGCCCTCCGTGGGGGGAGCTGGCCTGCCTTGTTCCAGGAATGACAAGGCCAGAGTGAGGGAGAAGGGGAAGAGTAGCAGATGGGGTGTTAGGGACCTGGGGTGGTGGCCACTGGGGGATTTT